CGTTGTACTCTGGATGCTTCATATGAGTCCCATCCACCTCCCACACGGGAAGCATCGAATCTTGAATAGCCACTACACTCCCAATGGACAAGAACAATCGATAAAATCTTCCCTTTGAGTCTAACTGAAGGCACACTCGAGACCCCAAGTTTATCTCCGCGAAGGCAGTCAAAAACCCTGGCAGATGACTGTATTCTACTTCAGGACTAATAGTAAACTGGGCTTTGGCCTTGCCTATGGCTCGATACACGACTGCTGGCTTGTCTTGAATGTTAATACCTTCAATTTCTTTAACACTATTGACAACCCGAGTCAAAGCTGTGCTATGCCCACTAACAATTGTAGCACTAAATCCAGCGAGTTCTTGTAGTTGACGGCCGTCTAAATTTGGTGAGCTCGTACAGCACTGCGAATGTATCAAGTCTAGCTTTGAGATGTACCAAGCTCGAACAGGTACATGAGCAAGCTTGGAAACACGTTTTGGCTTCGAACTGTCTAATGCTGATTTGGATGCTCTTTTCTTTGTAAAAAAAATGTACCAAACCACCCACACTCATTTGCAGTGCATACCCAAGTCTTCATATTCCCATACGCATACTTCCGGTACACGCTCTTGTTTTTATTCAACGCGTAGTCCTTTACGAAAACGCCCGCCGCTGACAGATCGTCGAAAAAGGCGTGTAGAACAAGGTGATCATGACCGTGAAGACGCTTTAGGTCTAGTTGGGGCATCTTTAAGTGAGATGTCGAGACTACAACATGAAGTAAAATAATTATAGATATCTTTACACAGCTTCATTACGTTCATAAGAACGGAGGAAACGGAGGACGTGCTTATTATGACCAATCACATCAGTTGTGGTCCTTGGAGATAAATTATCTCGTTAATGTGGTCCCTAGAGATAAATATCCTCCTGACAGTACTAAGGCCCTAGTTCAGGTGGAGAATGTGTTCTGTCGACAAACACGTTAGGGTTGGCACGATTTGGTTGGAGCCAAACGCAACAGTTGAGAACGATGTGCCCCGGTATGTTCAGGTCGCGCACTTCGTTTGCCACCATCAGCTCTTGCGGTTTTCTGCGGCGACAACAGCAACGAGACCACAAGCAGTTTTCCACCGTGGAGCCACCAGATCAAGGCGAACATGTCCAGTCTACAAGCCTTCTTCCGAATATCGTGGCCCCTGCAATTGTGCCGCTCACGGTGTCGCTGTCACTGCAGTGGCCAGACTTCATCAGCACTCACTCGCTGACGTCGCAGTCAGTGACGTCAGTCGCAACAGCCCAGTCGTCACCACCAACATCGCTTGGAGAGGTGCAGCTGCAGCCAGCAACGACGAGCTTGCCTGCTCTACCCACTCACACCCCCGTTGGTGATACTGCCAAGTCTGCGGGTAAGCTCGCAAGAAAGGGAAAATTGAACACCAAAGAGCAAACGAAGCGCACTAGAGGACCAACAAAATGATTGAGGAGCTGCTGGACTTCCGCTTTTCGGACGGAGACGTGAAGCGTCATCTCGAGACCGCCGACACGAAGACCGAAAAGACTCTGGCCTGGCAATTATTTGCCAGTGTGCTGTCAGATTCTCTGGGCATGGTACTCACCCCCATCAGGTAGGCCTAAACTCTCGGGCGTGCGGGTACTGCGCTCTAACTCTGTTGTGGGGATGGGGGGAGTGTCGGTGAAATACGAAAGATGGAGTGCGTCGAACGGGAAAGAAACTGCGAGATGGGGAGACCGGGAAACGTGCGCGCGCGGGCGAAGTGGAGGGAAGCCTGTGGGCCAGATC